CCTTTTGGTGTTATATTCCTTCCACGTGCAATCCCAGCCCCACTATGCAGTCTAGAGAAAATTCTGGGCTTGAGACCATTGCCACTCTATGCTCCTCACCTCCCATGGCTAGCGCCTTTATGAACAGTGCAGGAAAGCAAGAAGCTGGAAGGGAAAGAATGGGTGGTTTGCTGTGGACTTCCATGCCCTCCTCATTTCCAAAATGTACCCACAAAGCAGCTCTGGAGGCTAAAGGCATTTATTAACTCCAACTCAGACTCAAACAGAAAGCAGACTGAATTCTTTCAACCCTTCTTGTTTATACTCCAGCTTCTAGTTAGAGAGCAGTGTCACAAAGCTGAGGGGAAAGAAATCTTTTTGGACAAATCTGGCTCCCAGCTGCATGGCCTCCTGTGAATAGGAACTTGGCACAGTAGGGAGAGAAAGGCTGTCATTGCAGCTGGCAGCCGTCGAAGGCCTCATGTGGTGAACCTACTCGGCATGGGAAGCATCATGCCAATGAATAGCAGCAACTGGCAGAAGTGTTGGGTTGGAGTAGCGGATGGGATGGCCCCAAGAGGGGAAGGTTGCCTGGGAATCATCTTCCTCGTCTAAGGCAGGGCTATGAGTGCCGTGTTAAGGTATTCAGAGGGAATTGGGAGGTCTGGATTCTAGGTCTGACTACAAATTGTGTGACCTTGGGAAGATCACTTCCTCTACTGGGGCCTCAGTGTCCTTTTCTGTAATAGAAGAGGATGAATCAGAGGTTACAAACTGGCAGCCTCTGGGCCTGATTTGGCCAGTGGATGCATGTTGGTTGGCCAGCCCAGTATTTTGTTCATTTCCACAGTTTGAAAGCCTTGTTTGTCTTGGCTCTCCAGTTCACCACAGTTCCCACTATCCTCCATGATCTTACCACTATCCACCAGCCCCTCCCAGCCATTTCCCATATGTCCAATATCCAGCTGGTTCCTGAAGGCTCTTCAGCCTTAGCAACCATGAGCTAAGTTATCTCTAAGGGGCTCTTATAACTAATGTGCTATTATGTCTCCACATGTCAGCCTCTAATATCACCAAGGGGCAGGCAGAGAGGACCTTGGGGGGAAAGTGGGGCAGTCTGTCATGAACACAGCCACAAAGGGCAAGTGGGCAAAAGAATGAACAAGCACCACTTAAGGGAACACTTGGATGGGTTTTCTTAAAGCTGACTTGTCAGCCCCCAAATCACCACCCCCGAAGGATGTGGCCTGTTGAACAACCATGACTTTTCCTGGACCTCAATTGCTTTGATTTCTAAATTGACAATATACGTTCTTTGAAAAGTGTACAAGGCTCACAGGATCGTGGGCCGGGGTTTGGCCATCGTTCAGCTTTGATTTCTAAAAGGGTTATTCTTTTGTGGAAAATCGAACCAAGTTTCAGTCCTTCCTGTGTGATTAGATAAGTGGTTTCAGGAAAGCGTTTCATTTTGTTTCTCTTTACAAGGACAGTGTGACAGTGTGGACTTCCCCTAACAGAAAGTCCCTCCATCTGTGTGTCTGGCCGCTGACCTGCCCTGGGGACTTTCCTTCTCACACAGCACCCTGAGGCCAAGGCCTTTCCCTTTTAGGTCTCCATGTTACACCTCCTTACCTCCATTTCTCTCCCAGACACCTCCAGTATTATTTGTGCGACGGCAGGATATATCAGGCTACAGTGCGAGGAGCAAGGATAGAAGGGCTGGTGAAGGTCCTTTTTGTCGGGAAGTTACAAGTCCGGGGCCTCCTGACTTATTTGCTCATTGATTCCTGGCCAACCGTGAGACTTTTACAATGTGGCTTCTTTTCATGTCCTAGTGCTGACCTAAAACACATTCTCTTGGCCCCGTTTTCTGCGGTAATAAAGTCCTTTCAACTAGATCCTCTGGGACTTACTGTGGGCCGTAAGCAGGACTGATGTATCTCCCTGTGATGTCATCAGGCTTCAACATAAAACAGGCCGACCTACCCTCAGTCCTCCTAGGAGCAGGGGAAGCGGCCAGATGTCTAAGTTGTAAAGGGCTTCCTTGATAGACCACAGGCTGCGTTCCAGGTAAGAGTCCACAGGACAGCAAATTGTTAATTAGAAAGTAAATAAGGCTAGCGCTGGCTAGTGAAATGGAAAGCCGGATATCTTGGACGTCAACTCACATGAGGGTAATAGACCTTTGACAAGTTGAACTTCCTCCTGGCCTACCTGAATACCTTAGGTTACACTGACTTTCCAGTTTGTAAGTCAAACAAGACCCCTCTGGGGCAAAAGTTTGTGATTTCAGTAGGTGTGAATGGACGAATTGAATTATAAATGATTCATTTAGGGCAGAAAAGAAAGCTAGTTGATGTTAGAGAACTGGAGGAGAGAGACAAGTTGTTTTCTCCTTAAATATACTCTTTTCTTTGAATTTTCCATCAGAATCTCCGTTTCTGCTTTAGTTTAAAAGTATATTGGCTTTCTACCTGAAGGAGAATACACTTGAATTTATCTAGACAATATCTTTTGGTTTACTGATTGCCTTCCTTCTCGTTAGCCTGTTAATGTAAAAAGCACTGGACAAGGAATTAGAAGAACGACGTTCTTGACCCGGCCCAACTGTTAACTTTGTGTGTCTTTTTTTTAACCTCTTTGAGCTTCAGTCTCTTCTGTAAAGTGAGGAGAGTGAATTAAATGAACCGTAAGTCTCTTCTAGTAGATTTTATGCAATATTAATTGCCATTGGACTAGGCAATCCCAGTTTACTGAATAATAAAAAACAATCACTGGAATTATACACATTTATATGAAACTAGCAAAGAGTGTAAATAGGCTTTGTGTATTATGAAGGGACCTCAGGGACCACCTAGTCCAGTGATTCCCAAAGTTTAGTCATTCATGTCTCATCTTCATGATTGTGTCATATTTGTGTATTACCAACACTAGTAATTATTTAATGCTGTTTTCTCTATTGACTTGGTTTTTTTTGTTGTTGTTGTTTTGTTTTTGGTTTTTTTTGGCCGCACCACGCAGCTCGTGGGGTCTTAGTTCCCTGACCAGAGATTGAACCCGGGTCTGGTAGTGAAAGTGTTGAGTCCTAACCACTGGACCACCAGGGCACTCCCTGACTTGGTTTTTAAAAGTCTTAAAAATGTCCGCCTTAGTTTCACTGTAAGCAATAACATCCATGAAGTCACAGATCTGATGTGATAGCTATGTCTCTAATACACATTACATTTTTAAAGTTTTCAATTTCTTGCCACCTAAAATCAACTTGTCAGCTTACGCTTAGGGAGTACATACCATACTTTAGAGAACACTACTCTGGTTCCTCATTCAGATGTGGAAACTAAAGTTTGGAGAGATTAAATAACTTTGTTTCTTATTGCAAAGTAGGTTGCCATGTAGACATGAGGAGAGGCTACTTCCCCCATGTCACAGTCAGAGGTCCAGCATGGCTAAAACCCAGGTCTTATGGAAGCAACCTAAGTGTCCATCAACAGAAGAATGGATAAAGAAGATGTGGCACATATATACAATGGAATGTAACTCAGCCATAAGAAGAAACGAAATTGAGTTATTTGTAGTGAGGTGGATGGACCTAGAGTCTGTCATACAGAGTGAAGTAAGTCAGAAAGAGGAAAACAAATACCGTATGCTAACACATATATATGGAATCTAAAAAAGAAAAAATCATTCTAAAGGACCTAGGGGCAGCACAGGGGTAAAGACATAAAGACGCAGATGTAGAGAATGGAGTTGAGGACACGGGGAGGGGGAAGGGTAAGCTGGGACGAAGTGAGAGAGTGGCATGGACTTATATATACTACCAAATGTAAAATAGATAGCTGGTGGGAAGCAGCCGCATGGCACAGGGAGATCAGCTTGGTGTTTTGTGTCCACCTAGAGGGGTGGGATAGGGAGGGTGGGAGGGAGACGCAAGAGGGAGGAGATATGGGGATGTATGTATACATATAGCTGATTCACTTTGTTATAAAGCAGAAACTAACACACCATTGTAAAGCAATTATACTCCAATAAAGATGTTTAAAATAAATAAATAAATAAATAAACCCCAGGTTTTCTTACTCCTAGACCAGGTCTCTTTCCATCACACCATACTGCTTCCACAGTTGCCATTATGATCTGAATATCCATATTCTTTAACAGAGATGGGACTATAATCAAGATCTTTCTTAAATCTAGTAAATTATAATAATAATAAATAAATCTTTATGGATTTGGGTGAGTCGTTTAATCTCTGTGTTTGAGTGTCCTTATTTGTCTAAAAGCAGTAATAATTCCAGTTCTGCCTCCTGCTATGTGGGGAGAAAGGTAGCAGTTACCATTGACCAAGCACTTCCTAGGCCCTTGGCTAAGTTACTTTGCTTCATTCTCGCACCACCACTATGAAGCGATGGGGCCAGATGGTTTCTCAGGAGCCTCTCTGCTCTGAAATGTTATTCTTCTAACAAACAGGATGAACTCAGTTTTGCTTACCCAAAGGAATATGCATGTAAGGAGCGTGAATATTCTTTTAGGGAAATCAGATATTCTAGATAATCCCATTGGGTAAAGTAAACCGAAATCAAAAATGTTTATCAAGTAGGAAAGACGATGCTTTTGGTTTTCCCATCAGATGTTTGTGTCCTATATAATGAGTTTCCTGATGAGTAGACTCATCAGGTGAGCATCTTGATCTGTTAGCCTAAGCTTAGGAGTTGAATTCTGTCAGCTCCAGCTGCCTACTGTCTATAAGATATGCATATCTCCCTGCCCTGATGACATCACAGAGCTGCTTTGAGCACAAATGAGGTCGTGGCTGTGCAATGCTGTGAGAAAGCTAAAGTGTCCCACTGAGCTGAGAAACTTTTGCCACAGGGACCTGTTCCTTACCGGGGGTGGGAGGGGGATACTGCTTCCTTTTTTCATTCAATGTCAAAGTAGGTAACATTGGATAGGGGGAACTTCCACGTAGCTTACCCTAGCCCCGGACACTGTCCAGTTCTCATTTCTGTCATTTTCTGTCCTAGATTTACTATTCTGAAGGTGGACAAGCTACAGCCATCGGGCAATTTAAAGATCGCATTGTAGGGTCCAATGCTCCAGGTAACGCCTCCATCACTATTGCACATATGCAACCAGCAGATAGTGGCATCTACGTCTGCGATGTTAACAACCCCCCTGACTTTTTCGGCAAAAATCAAGGCACCCTCAACGTCAGTGTGTTAGGTATGGACAATTTTTTCTGCTTTTTCTCTTCTTGCAGCAACTCAGGAATTGAATGAGCTAGGGCAGTGAGTTATTGGTACCAATTAAGCCCCAGGGTAAATATCCTCCCTGCTCCTTTTATTATCGGGAAAATAAAGACACACCGCAAACCCAATCCACAGAGTAACACTGAGAAATCACTCATAAAACATGTTGAAACAATTGTCAAACCCAAAGGGCTGCCAACATGACAGATAGCAATAGATGACCACTTCCTGGATCCCTATCTCTGAAGGATGCGATGAGAACAGATGGGAAAATGCACAGTCCCACTATATGATCACTAGCAACTCTTTCCGAGGGAACCTCCAATTAGGGCCAGTCCTACCTGGGGGAAACAACTGTCAGTTTGTTACCTCTTCAAAGCCAGCCACAATTCCCACCATTAAATCATTCTGTGGCATAAAGGCAGATGGATCCCTTTCTAAAATATTAATGCTATTTGGAAAAAAAGAAAGAGTTGAGAATTAATTTATTTATACACAAATATTCAGTATGTGACATGGGGCAAGTCATATCTGCTCTTAAATGAATTTGGAGTGGTTCACTTATGCAGCATTTATTGAGTGCCTGCTTTGTGCCAGGAGCCAGGATGGAGGCGTGGTTTCTGCTCTTGGGGAAGTTCACAAGTTTGGTGATTCTTAGGGATCCTTCCAGTCTCTGTCTGAGAGGACAGTGGGAGTTTTGCCCCTGTCTATATGCCTAGCAGGTCCTGTCTGCAGGCCTTCAGATGTACTGAAGGGAGGGATGAAAGGGCTGTCAACCTTCGCCAACTAACCAGTGAGCTAAGGGCTCTCCCACTTCTAAGTAACCCAAATGGAGCTTATCTAGCCGTTGCTGCTCTTGAGCTGTGTATATCCATCGCGGGAAAGGAGGAACTAGATCAAACCAGTGACTTGATAATTGAGTAGCTTTGAAAAGCCGCAATTGGTAACAAGGTGCACACCCCAGGAGGACTGCCCAGAACTGTCTGAGCTTGCTGCCCAGGTGATGCCTAAAAAGAACCAGCTATTTACTGTGAGGTTTGCCACTGCATCTACCCACCTGGAAAAGAAGAAAAGGTAATCAAGAGCTGATTTCTAGGAACGGGATGACTCTATCATGTTTTTATTTTGCTGTACCCTGTGCTAGGCTTTGGGGTAAAGGGGATGACAAGAGAAGTATACACAAGCCCTTTACTGGGAGAGTTGATGTTCCAGTGTGGAATAGATGCTAGCACATCAGGCTGGGAGTCAGAAGACCTAGGTTCTAGCTCTTACTCTGCTACTCAGTGGCCTCAGACAAGTCAGTCCACCTTTCTCTGGCCATTTTGAGATGGGGTTGAAATTCCTGCCCTGTCATATTATCATTATGAGAATCAAATGATATGCTGGAGATTCAGTGTTCATAGAAATTGAGGGATTAGTCCTCTAATGTTTTTCTCTTACTCCCTGGCTCTGGGTTGTCCTTCTGACCAGAAACAACCTAAAGAAGCCAAGCCTCTTTTTCTCTGAGCTTGGAAATAGCCCTGAGGTAAAGTTAGGGTGGTTAATATTCTTAAAGTTCAGAGAGTCCCCAATCAACTTCCATAAGAAGTTGAGGGTCATTTCCTCTCTAAGTTGTTTTTTCCCATGCGTCTTTGGGTCAGTTGTTCTTGCAATGACTGTGCCATGACTTTTCTTTAAGCATCCAGTATCCAGGCAAGATAAGAGACAGAAGGCTCTGTGGATTTCTTTGTTTGGGAACTCTCAAAATCCTATTTTTATTAATTAGGCTAAGAACAAAGGCATTCCACAAATTTATGCTTTCTGGAAATTTTGAGACTGATATTTCCTCTAAAAATTGCAGAGGCTGCTTGCAGTTCTCAAATTCTATTGCACATGAGTGCCTGTTCTGCTTGCCCTGACTGAGGGGTGGGGCATGGTAGCGGCAAGTGTGTAAGGGAGACCAACTGAGGAGAAAGGTATTGATATTTCCTTAAATATTGCTCTTCCTAGCAATGCATCTTTCGGAGACTTTTCATAACCCAGTGGTAGACATAGATCCCATGCATTCACTCATTTATGCATAAATTCATTCGGCAAACCCTGAACACATGTTCAGTTACCATGGTAGGCAATGGAGATGGAAAGATGTCAAAGTTCAGCTCCCAGCCCTCCTAAACTTCAAAGTCTAGTGGGGGAGGCAGATATATAACATAAGCTTACAGTGGAGGGAGGAGAGGAGAGCTGGGAGATCACAGGGGAAAGGGCATAAAGCCGTGCAGGGGGAACTGGAGAAGGCTTCCTGGAGAAAGTGACTTCTGCATTGAATGTTGAAGGATATGCAAGAGCGTGTCAGGCAGAAGAGGGGCTGAGGTGGCAGGGCACGATTTAGGTGAAGGAAAGAGCAATGCACAAAGGCCCAGGTGGTTTGGGCGACCATTCAATTGAGAGACTTCCATTAGGTATGATAGCCTTAGAAAATGAATCTCTGAAAAATACCCAGCAGAAGTTTGAATAATTATTTTGTATGCACTTGGAAGGAGCATCATCTTCCTTCTGCAATTTGGCACATAAAAAGAAAATGATGAATTTAGAGAAGGTTTGAGAACACAGTGAAGCATTTTCATTAATTTTCTGAGGTGAGCCTCTTCTTCCCATCCCAATTCTGTAGAAAGCAATAAAGCTAAATGGTAGATCAGTGGCTTTGCCAGTAAAACATCCAAGTTCTGTCGGGGACTTTAACTGGATGAAATGTCAATTCAATACTGAATCAGTAGTCTTAGAAAATATATGGATTTGGGATGTGGTTCAAAGTGATTTACTAAGTGTTTGGTTAATAAAAAATAAAGAAAAATGTGTTCAGCAAAATAAAAAAATGCCTATCTGGGTTTGATTCTGGGCTCAAGAAATGAATGCAAGTAATTCCAGGGTTTTGTCCATAATTAGTTCAAGTCCTGGGGTCTGGCTTCGTGATGAAGCACCCCCATTTAATTTTCGATTCAGATTATTCTATTCCACTTATAGTGGAATAAAATCACCATGTTTTTAAAAAAGGCAATATCTAAATCTAGTGATAGGTGCACTGGATTTCTGGTTAAATAGCCTAGTTTATTTAGGGTAGGCAAATCCAAGGAGTTATCTCCATCTGAGGAAATCAACAGTAAGAAAGAATAAAGAGGGACTTCCCTGGTGGCACAGTGGTTAAGAATTTGCCTGCCAATGCAGGGGACATGGGTTCGATCCCTGGTCCAGGAAGATCCCACATGCTGCGGAGCAACTAAGCCCATGTGCCACAACTACTGGGCCTGCGCTCTAGAGCCCGTGAGCCACAACTACTGAAGCCCGTGTGCCTAGAGCCCGTGCTCCGCAACAAGAGAAGCCACCACAGTGAGAAGCCCATGCATCGCGATGCAGAGTAGCCCCTGCTTGCTGCAACTAGAGAAAGCCTGCGCGCAGCAATGAAAACCCCATGCAGCCAAAAATAAATAAATAAATTTATTTAAAAAAAGAAAGAATAAAGAGCTAAACAGAAAAATACTTCTTTTAATTAAAAGACACCTGTTTAAAAGAAGGGATGGCACAACAGACAATTGGCTTAAGAAGGTATGGTACATATACACAATGGAATATTACTAAGCCATAAAAAAGAATGGAATACTGCTGGTTGCAGCAGAATGGACAGACCTAGAGAATATTATGCTTAGTGAAATAAGTCCAACAGAGAAAGACAAGTACTGGATCTCATTTATATGTGGAATCTAAAAAATAATACAAATGAATGTATATGCAGAACAGACTCACAGACATAGAAAACAAACTAGTGGCTATCAGAGGGAAGAGGGAAGGGGGAGGGACAGATTAGGGGTGTGGGATTAACAGATACAAACTATTATACATATAATAGATAAGCAACAAGGATATACTGTATAGCACAGGGAATTATACCCATTATCATAACCTATAATGGAGCATAATCTGCAAAAATACTGAATTGCTATGCTGTACATCTGAAACTATAACAGAATATCACAGATCAAGTACACTTCTATTAAAAGACAAGAAGGGATTGTGAAATTTTCAGAGAACTATAGCTATATCCATCTGTTTTCCTGCTCACATGTACAGTGGGTTAGAGTCTGAGATTGGAAGATTATCAGTGGCAAGGTCGGAAATGTGGCAGCAGGAGTTCATTCCTGCCTGTGGCCAACAGCAATTCCACGTGTATGATACTATATACATTATTTTATTTATATAAATACAATATATTTGGATTAGCTGGAGGCCAGGTAATCTCTTGTTCACATTTTACAGATGAATCAACTGAGGTTTGGCTATGTTAGGTTACTTGCCTAAATACGTCTAGGGTAAAGTTGTGGAGCAGTGTTCGGTGTGGATCCAGAGCTGTGCTCTTAACTGCTGCCTCCCAAGTAAGAGCCAGAGAGCTGGGCATCCTGGAGCATTTAGGGTCTAACTAGCCGAAGGCAGAGAATCTATGCCTTTGGAGTGTTTTATATCCAAATTAAGGAAGGTGAATTGGAAAGTATCGATTCAGATCCTTGTCTATAAGTCAGACTGAGGATAGAATAAGCTGTGAGCAGTAAGATAAGTGAGGAGAATCAGATTCTCAGCTTCCCACAGGAGTTCCCCATACGCAGATGAAACTCAGTATATCCCAAACTGACCTCATCATCGCCCCTTCCTCCTCCTCACTACTTCCCCGAAAACCTGCTACTCACCCTAACCCTCACCCTCACCCTAACCCTAACCCTGTATTTATCTCAGGGGATGGCAAGATCATGTACCCAGCTGTCAAATCAGGAACCTGGGATTAATCACTGAGCCCACCCTCTTCCTCATGCCACAGATCCAGCTGGTCCTCAAGCCCTCTCGACTTCTTAATACGGCTTGAATCTGTCTCCTCCTGTCCCTTGGCTCAGGAAGCCCTGGAGTCAGAGCAATTCATCTAAAACGTTAGAATGATCATCATCCCTCCACTGCTTAAATTCCTTCTGTGGTACTGCTGCTCTCGGTATAAAATACATGAAACACGAAGCCCCCTAATCTATGGCCTCACTGCTCTCTAGCCTAATCTCTTACCACTCCCCCACCCTACTTCAGAACTGTGTCAAGAGTCACTTTTGAATCTCTGGTGCCTAGTCCAGTGCTGGGCACACAGAAGGCACTCAAGTAAGTGCTTGTGGCATGAAGGATGAATCAAGATTTCAGTGCCCTGTAGCACACCCCCCCCCCCCGCAACGGGTTTCCCCTCCCGATGAGGGTCACGGGCAAATTCAAACCCTCTATTTTGTGTCACCCCCAGAAGAATAAATGCCAAAAAATGACTCACAAAGGAAAAATATGGCATTAATAAAACAATGTTTTAAAAAGAATAAGTAACCAGTTATCTCAAAGTATTTAAGGGTTCTGTTTTCCTTTAAGACTGTGCTTCCAAAGTATAAACTATGTTCCTAGTTGTTTTGTAATAAAGGCATATTTTAAGGCACAATGCAGAAATTCATGGTTATGAATCTGGGGAGCAGGCAGATAGAATGGATGCTATTAGAATATTAATGGCCCAGTGACAGAAGGTCTTTGTACCTGAAGTGCTCTACTCCCACCTGGTGGTACAGCTAGAAAACTGTCAAAATAAGTTTTTAAAGATTAAAAACAAATAAGTATACATACTCTACAAAAGGAAAGTGAGGAAGTGACTAAAATTGGTACAGACTGCCATTCGTCATGCAGGATTTTTTACTCTTTGTCATTGCCTTACAGTCAAACCTTCTAAGCCCTTTTGCAGCATCCAAGGAATACCAGAAACTGGCCATCCTGTATCTCTTACTTGCCTCTCTGTGCTTGGAACACCTTCCCCGGTGTACTACTGGTATAAACTTGAAGGAAGAGACATCGTCCCAGTGAAAGAAACCTTCAGTGAGTATAGCCCTCTGCTGCCCCTGGCAAGGCCTGGTGTGTGGGCTTGGTCGACAGCATGTGTGTGTGACTGGATGTTGTCCTTAGAGCACAATCTTCGAGTTTTCTGGGAGGAGAATGTACAAAGAATGTCAATCTCTCATCAAGATGGCTGTCCTCCGGTCTTCTCCCCAACTTCTAGAAACCAAGACCATTTTTGGCTCACAGGTGGTGGGTATGGAGAAAATAGGCATCGTCCCAGATGGGAGTCTCCAGGGGTCTAGTTGGACCCTGGACATCTCAAGAAAGAGAGGCCAATGTGAGGAAGTGGGTGGGCATTGAATGATCTGTTACATTCACATGATCTCTACCCACATAAGAGATTTCAAAATGCTATTTCCTGGTTTTGACAGACCCAGCCACCGGGATTTTGTTTATTGGAAATCTGACCAATTTTGTACAAGGTTATTACCAGTGCACCGCTATCAACAACCTTGGCAATAGTTCCTGTGAAATTGACCTAACTTCTTCACGTGAGTTGATCATATATATAACTTTAACAGTTTCTCCTTAAGTCAAGTATGCTGGGCCTGCCAATCAAGTAAATTAATTAGAATTCCTGGTTAGTCCTTCCCGACTGGAGACTTTGGTGCTTTATTTATAGGTTGACATGGTGGATGACCATCCTAATATCTAATGCTTACATAATACTTAATATATGCCACATGCTGCTTCAAATTGTTTACAAAAATTAATTTGCTTAACCCTCACAAAATCTCCAGAAAGTAAAACAACAGCCTCATTCATAGTACAAGGCTGAATTTTCTTTGTGATGCTGTTGGTAGATCCAGGTGAAGCTACAGCAATCTGCGTCAAACATGGAGCTCACAAACTTTCCAGTTATTAACTAATTTGCTGAAATCTGCCTCTAATAATAATAGTAATAACGACACTTGCACCTACATTCAGAGCAGCTAATATTGCGGAGCACAAACTATGTGCCGGACGCTTGGCCGCGTGCTGTGAGCATTATCCCGCTCAGTCCTACAATCACCCCATCTAGGAGGCAGAATATACTGTTAAGCTTCACTTTACTGAAAAGGAAACTAAAGCTCAGGGAGGTAAGTGACTTGCTCAGGGTCATTCAGTTTGTAACTGGCAGAGTCACAATGCCTCTAAACCTCAACCTTGCAGTTCAAACGTGCCTAGTTACGAAGCATAGACTTGAGGGCCTGAGATTGTCAAATTGGGCCAGTTAGGGGGCAAGTTCTCACAAGGGATATCTTGCTACACCTCTCAAGGATCACTTCATTACATTGCAGATCCTGTCATTTATTCATTTTTTCAAACTTCCTTTGAATCTGTGATTTTAATATATTCCATAACCAGGGGGCCCAGTTCCATTGGATTATTATTCTCCTATGAAGCTGGGCTTTCTTCCTTTTATTTGTCCGGAATCAGACATTTTCCAACTCCAGTTTGCTCCTTCATTTTCGTATCACTTTCAGCCATTTTTTAAACATCTTTATTGGAGTATAACTGCTTTACAATGTTATGTTAGTTTCTGCTGTATAACAAAGTGAATCAGCTATACATATACATATGCCCCCATATCTCTTGCGTCTCCCTCCCTCCCACCCTCCCTACCCCACCCTCCCTATCCCACCCCTCTAGGTGGTCGCAAAGCACCGAGCTGATCTCCCTGTGCTATGCGGCTGCTTCCCACTAGCTATCTAGTTTACGTTTGGTAGTGTATATATGTCCATGCCACTCTCTCACTTCGTCCCAGCTTACCCTTCCCCCTCCCCATATCCTCAGGTCCATTCTCTACGTCTGCGTCTTTATTCCTGTCCTGCCCCTAGGTTCTTCAGAACCTGTTTTTTCTTTTTTTTAGATTCCATATATATGTGTTAGCATACGGTATTTGTTGTTCTCTTTCTGACTTACTTCACTCTGTATGACAGACTCTAGGTCCATCCACCTCACTACAAATGATTCAATTTCGTTTCTTTTTATGGCTGGAAACGTCATCTTTTTGTGTGTCCTTTTTTGTGGTCCCATTCTGTCCCTGCTCCCTTGATCATTTCTGCTGTTTTTCTCCATATCTTCCCCAATCTCTTTTTGCCTTTCTAGAGGTACAGTCATATTGCAGATATAGAGACTCCTCAGATTTGTACTTGAGCCTTGCTTCCTTTTGAATCCTCTTTTCAATGATGTCTAGCATTTGGCTTCCTTCCTGCCTTCCTGCCTTCTTGACTTCCTGCCTCCCTCCTTCCCTCCATCCCTCCCTTCCTCAAACCTTCATTGACTATCTACTGTATGTCAGGGAATGTCCTAGGCGATGGAGATTCAGATATTAATAAGATATATGTCTTACACTCAAGGAGCTCACAGATTAGCTAGAGGCACAAACACTAAAATTTGTTAAATGTTATAACAGAGGTCTGCACAGGGTCTATAGGATGCCAAAGAAGAAACAACTAATTATGATTATAGAACCAGGGCCAGCTTTACCAATGAAGTGCTATTTGAGATGGAGCTTGCAAAGCCTGTTTCTTTAAAATTAGGATGAGGGTAAAAGGAGGTTGAAGGATGACAGCAGAGCAGCAGGCTTAGGAGGGCAACCGGTCGACGCTCAGGGAGGAAGGTGGAGGACTCCAGAAGGGATGTCTCCAAGGGAGGAAACAACAACAACATAAGAAACTGATAGATTAGCTGATGTGTTTGAACTACCGAAAAGACTTTTGCTAGAAATTTTGGGGATTAGTAATAATACATTAAAAAACCCATAAATCCCCAAATGAGGCAATTATTAACCTTGGGGAAATTTTTAAAATGTTGTACAAGAAAGAGTCATACTATGTTCTGCAGCTGTGAACAATATTTACATGGTCATAATACTGCAAACATTGATTTAACGATACCTTATGTTATATTAGGAGAATATGGCGGGATGTGAGGGGAGTGGTGTAAGAGTTAAATCTTCAACCTCCAGAGTAGGAAGCCAATAGAAAGTGACAAAATTTGGAAAAGGCAGAACATATTACAACAAGTGTAATAGAAACATGGCGGCAAATTCCTCTTGTGAATGGGACTTAGAGATGGGAAGGAGTGGAGAAAGGAACTGCTGATTTTTGTTGTTGTTGTTAGAAGCCTAGTAGAACTGTTTGACTTTCTAAATGATGCACATGTATTCCTTTAATCATAGAAAGTTAAAAGAATGATCAGGCAACTCAACTAGCCTTTCATCTCAGAGTATAAGATATTCATCCTTGCTTGAAGGGAGGCCGATGGGGATGGGCCCACCTGGAATCCAGACATGGTCTCTTGGGGACAATACCTCAGTGCTTGAAGGTCTGGCGCTCAGCTGGATCATTTCACACTCATTAAGTTTTTCCATAGACTGATCTAATAAACCAGATGCTTGTTTATGGAAATGGGCATATCCCTTCCCAGTGGCCAGAATGCATGAGGCTCTTTGGTGAGCATGGAATCTATGGAAGAGAAGGTTTTTAGGGAACTACTTCACGCATGCTTTGGGAAAGCCTGGTGAAATGTCCCTGCCTGTAACAGACGTCATTTCTCTGGTGACCGGATTGCAGCTCCATCGTGTCTCTCTCACTGCCCAAGCAAATGCACGGTGAAGACTTACTTCTCCAAACCGCATTTTTTAGTTCGGGGGGGCCGTGCCACAGGATCTTAGTTCCCCGACCAGGGATCGAACCCACACCCCCGGCGGTGGAAGCGCAGAGTCCTAACCACTGGACCGCCAGGGAAGTCTGAAACCGCATTTCTAAAGCGACCCCACCTCCCCCAAGTTGGCATATTCTTTTCTCTTTATGTGTGTAAATGTGAATGGGAAGGCTACATAGTCAAGCCAGTCACCTTTCTTCTCCCACTACGAGTCCAGCTGAAAGAGTTCTAAGGGTTTCCATGCTCTCAGCCTATACAAGGCACCTTCCCACTATATGAATGCCCTGGATATTCCCCACCGGTCACGAATGCACGTGGATGAGGCAGACACTATGCTCCACTTTACTAACCAGCTGCTTGTGTCCTCCAGATCCAGAAGTTGGAATCATTGTCGGGGCCGTGGTGGGTACCCTAGTAGGTGCTGCCATTATCTTCTCTGTGGTGTGCTTCGCGAGGAACAAGGCAAAAGAGAAGGGGAAGAAAAGGAAGAGAAATTCTAAACCCACCACAGAACTCCAGTAAGACCTTACTTTGTTGCCTTTACTTGAATAGACATTTCTCAGGCCTGTCTCTTTCAGTCAGCTCTTCCTAAGCACTCCTTTTAGCATAAGATATAGAGGCATCTTTCTGCTCACCCTCACTGCTTTTATAAAAGAATGGTGATGGCTATCATGTACTGAGCGCTGCGTGCCAGACTCTGTGCTAAGCATTTTATGTGTATCAACTCATTTAACTGCCACGACAATCCTTTTAGGGTTAAGAAAATGTTTTAATATATTAATATACTTGTCCTTCTACCAAGAGTGATAAAATGTAACTTTTAATGTTTATTTTATGGAACAAGGGGCCCATGGAAGCAAAAGTGCTGAGGGCCCAGGCTCTTGACCACTTTGTTATTTCTTATCAAATGTTATTTCTTATCCATTTCTGTGCTTCCACAACCAAGTGCCAAGCATTGTGCTAGATGGAGTGGGTGCTAGATATGCACCAGAGCCATGAATTTGGCCAAAGACCTTATTAGAACTTTAGACCCTTTCGACCTCATAAGTTTTCTCACCTCTTAAACACTGGTTTGTCTTTCTTGAACTCTCATTATATTGTTGAGACCTAACCTTTCTGCACTCCAAATGGAGACCCGTGGTCTGACAGTGAGTCAGACTATCAGAAATCACAGAGGTCCTGAACAGATTGGGACCTATGGTCACGGAGGCTACAGAGCCTATGTCTCCATGTGAGATGTCAAACCCTAACTTGTTCTTCCCTGGGCCTTCTTCCTGCAGACCAATGACAAATGTAAACCAAAGTGCAGAGTGTGAGACAATACCAGATGAAGATATCATCCAAATAGAAGCAACTCTGCCATCTTCCATCCATGAGGCTGAGCCTAATACTACCCTGGGGCCAGATGACAAGCCTCTCCCCAAGCCTGAGCCTGCCTTGCAGCCTGCCCTGGAGCTGGTCTCAGGGCCTGAGCTTGCCCCAGCGCCTGAGCTTGAGATCAAGCTGGAGCCACAGCAGGAACCGGAGCCCTCGATTGTAGTTGAGCCCTTCTGTGATAAGGGAGAGGGGGTGATTAAGACATAGGCCCGTGGCCTGAGTAGTGTTCATCACTAAGGAACCCATTACTGGCGTTTGGAATTCAGTTGACCTAACTAACCCACAACCTCCCTCCATTCTGACCAACCCTCTTCTAACAAGGTGCTCCTACCATCAATCCAAAGCAGACAGGTCAAGATAACTACTAAATAAATGCAAGGGTTCCTGCATTACCAGTATAGAGTACTTACAATTTGACTAACATGTAAACGCAACTAATTAAATGACAAATGATTTTGAACTCAGTTGAAGGTGTTTTACAACATGTGTGTCTTATTTCAGACAATCTGACTTCTCTATTTTTAGCTACTCTTTGAGATTCCACATGCACACATGACAAGGTGGCATTAACTGGATTCAATATTATTTCTAGGATTTGTTGTTGACAGAGCTTCCCTATTCATTTTCACATTGACCACTAAGAAAAGAATTCACCAGCATTATCTCATAGATTGGAAAAAAATTCCTTAAAATTCCAGAGGGAAATAAAGGGTACATATTAATTGGTACATAGCATTTAACACTAGGTCTTAAAATTAATGCTTCATTTATCATATTAGATTTCCCAAAGAACCACCAGCTATCCAATATCTGAGCACAGCAAAATTTTAAAATAACCCAATTTTTAAATGCAAAATAACGTACAGGCAAACAATTCCAAATACACTTTTCCTTCAATGAATACAAAATATTGATACTACAGGTGATGTACAATTTAGCTTTGCATGAGCTATTATGTTGTCACACTGTCTGATGCTATCTACTTTGGAAGGGCCAGAGTAGGAAACTGTTCTAAATGAACACTTAAGATCTATTTTGGATAATCGGAACTAATTAATCTATTTTACTGTTGGGATATTTCACATTAATAAAGAGATATCAATCTTGTATACATGCTTAATATTAACTAAAATGCATTGACATCACCTCTTCACCTGTTAAAAAGCTTTTCTATTGATCCTTTTTTACCCACATCTGACTTTGAAGAAATTTACCGGTAGACTTTTTCATCTGTGTAATCAATCAGATTTTAAATCTTATTTTAAGGTTCAATAAGTAATACTCAATAAAAATCTTATTTTAATGATCCTAAGGTAAATCTTTTATAAACAATTTTATTGATATATACATTATGTACAATAAACTGCACCTATTTCAAGTGTAAAATTTGATGAGTTTTGACAGATGTATACACCCATGAAACCACCGTGGTAATCTACATGGAGCATTTCCATCATCCCAAAGTGTTTCCTGTGTCCCTTTGTGCAATCCCACCATCACCCTGGACCCAGGCAACCACTGATTTGTTTTCCATCCTTAGAGATTAGCTTTGCCTTTTCTTGACCTTCATATAAATAGGACCATACAGTATGCACTTTATTGTGTCTGACTTCCTTCTAAGTGAAGTCTTTTTTTAAAAAAAATTTTATTTATTTTATTTTATATTTTATTTTTGGCTGTGTTGGGTCTCTTGCTGTGCACGGGCTTTCTCTAGTTGCGGTGAGCCGGGGCTACTCTTCGTTGCGGTGTGCGGGCTTCTCATTGTTGTGGCTTCTCTTGTTGTGGAGCACGGGCTCTAGGCGCACAGGTTTCAGTAGTTGTGGCACGTGGGCTCAGTAGTTGTGGCTTGCGGGCTCTAGAGCTCAGGCTCAGTAGTTGTGGCGCATGGGCTTAGTTGCTCCGCGGCATGTGAGACCTTCCCAGGCCAGGGCTCGAACCCGTGTCCCTTGCATTGGCAGGCGGATTCTTAACCACTGTGCCACCAGGGAAGCCCCTAAGTGAAGTCTTTTAAAATAATGAATCTCTAACTTATCACATTCAGATTTTCATGTAGAGGAAACTGTGAAACCATTTGTATATAGATCATACCTATACACTAATTGAGGTAGAGTCTTAGAAGGTTTTAGGGTAGATTGAAATTAAAATTAATATTACGCTTGTCCAGAGTCATGGAGAGAAGAGATAGCAAGTTTTTACTTATGCATTTTCCTTGATGTGTTAATTTTCAGCCAATCGCAGGGATTTTTGAAGCATCTGTAATTCCATTCAGACCAAATACAATATTATGACATACGGTATCTGATGGGTTCAGGAAGCAAAATGATGAAGGTCTTAAGAATGATCTAACATTTACAGCTTAAAAATTTCAATTACCAGAATGCCAAAGTAGCTGGAATTCACCTTCCCTTCTACTCTTATGACAGAGGTAAATCGCAAGAGACTAAAAATATATAATAGTCAACACCGCCCCCAAATTTCTGCTGAATTGGTGCTGAACAGGAAGGCAGGCACTCTTGGTGGTCTTATAGAGCTCTGCTCTTATTAGCACTGTTCTGATCAAAATGCCGATAAATAGTTGGATTAGTGGTTTTTAACCTTTTTTGAGGCCATGGATCACTTTGAGAATACACTGAAAACTCTGGACCCCTCTCCTTAGAAAAATGCTTATACACACAAAATGTCAAGTACAGTTTTAGATAAATTACAGACTCCCTGAATCCAAGAATAAGAACTAGTGAATTAGATAAAAACACAGAAGGTACACTTAATAAATCATGCATCCTGGGGTGCGTGGATACTCAAAATGATCTTGATAGTCTGGAAGGTGAGTTGAAATCAACATAATGAATTTGCCAGGAATGGAGGGTATGGTCCAGATTTAAGGATATAGAGTACATGTTGCCAATGCAGAAACCCTAGCTGGGCAAGGTTGGGAAGTAGGTGAGGTTAATCTGAAGTGGTATCTTTGGGTCTCTCCTTTCAGTTCCCTTCTTGGCCTTCTGGCATTATTTTCCAGACACCCAGGGTTGTCATGCACCTACTGGCTCAGTGACCCATTTGGATCTGAGTCCCTCAGGCAGGATTCATTGCTCAACCTATCTTTACCCTTGCCACCCTTTCAAAAGGTAGCTGTTCTGTGACCTGTTCTTGTCCAGTGAACATGATCTTTCATCATCCGGTGATGTCATTCAGGTTGATAATAAACTAGCTCTCTTAGGAAAATTTATCTTTTAAGAGGGGACTCTTTAAAAAATTTTTTTTTTATTTTTGGCTGCATTGGGTCTTCGTTGCTGTGCGCAGGCTTTCTCTAAGTTGCAGTGTGCAGGGGCTACTCTTCGTTATGGTGTGCGGGCTTCTCACAGCAGCGGCTTCTCTTGTTGCAGAGCACGGGCTCTAGGCACATGGGCTTCAGCAGTTGTGGCATGTGGGCTCAGTAGTTGTGGCTCGCGGGCTCTAGAGTGCAGGCTCAGTAGTTGTGGTGCACATGCTTAGTTGCTCCACGGCATGTGGGATCTTCCCGGACCAGGGATCGAACCCGTGTGCCCTGCATCGGCAGGCGGATTCTTAACCACTGCACCACCAGGGAAGTCCCTAAGAGGGGACTCTTGAAGACAGATAATTCTTTAATCCAACGATACTAAAAATGGTGGAATTTCAAGCACTGGAACAATCCAGAGGGGAGATATTCCTGAAGAAAGAAGCTTTCTCAGCCCCTCTCAAATCAAACCATGTGGGTTACCATCTAACTACTCCACCTACTTATAAGGCCACTCTGGGTCAGTGAAACTTTTATCCCAGTCTCCTTAATTTTCTATTAGTACATCCATAATATACCATATATTTATGTTTGTGATGAATCCTGAGACTGTATAAAATACAGAATCATAACAAAATTGTGTTCACTAAATTTTACTTGGGCAGGAAAATGGACTCCTATGTTCAAGAGATTTCCAATAAGGGAACAAAAGAAAGTTTTTTTTTCCTGCTTATTCATCAGTGGATCAGAAGATAAGTAATGGAATAGGTCATTACCCAAATATTCTGATAGCTTAAGCTTCGACCAAATTGTTTCAGCTTAATTCTCATTCAGATAAGGTACCACCTGATTTATTTTGCTACAGGTAGTTAAAAGTTAAGTGGGTAGTGTAAGGCCAACTGGCCCGAGGCAGGGGAACACAATCAGATTCACAGGTTGCATCAGAACGAAATTCTCCGGACCACCCAGTTCCAGAAACTGCCCTGGAGACATTCCGGACCACCCAGTTCCAGGAACTGACCTGGGGACTTTGAAACCAGCCCAGCCTTCCCACCTTTCGAGGGGCAGGACTAACGGTCCCCCAGGATACCCGAAAAGACCACCAAATAAGGAATACCCTGCGCCCTCCCAGATTCACCACACCCCTTTCCCTTCTTCCCCTATAAAATCTTGCCCAACCCTCGCCCGGGCGCGACTTCTCTGGCCCCCTTTCTCTCGGACCAGTGAACCTCGCCCGGGAGTGCTCCCTAATAAAGCTCACTTGAAGCATTCCTGTTTCGTGGTGCCGTTTGTTTTTTTTTCTTTCTTTTATTTTTTTTTCATTTTAACATCTTTATTGGAGTATAATTGCTTTACAATGGTATGTTAGTTTCAGCTTCACAACAAAATGAATCAGTTATATATATACATATGTTCCCATATCTCTTCCCGCTTGCATCTCCCTCCCTCCCACCCTCCCTATCCCACCCCTCCAGGCGGTCACAAAGCACCGAGCTGATCTCCCTGTGCTATGCGGCTGCTTCCCACTAGCTATCTACCTTACGTTTGGTAGTGTGTATATGTCCATGCCTCTCTCTCTCGCTTTGTCACCGTTTACCCTTCGCCCTCCCCATAGCCTCAAGTCCATTCTCTAGTAAGTCTGTGTCTTTATTCCTGTTTCACCCCTAGGTTTTTCATGACATTTTTTTTTCTTAAATTCCATATATATGTGTTAGCATACGGTATTTGGCTCTCTCTTTCTGACTTACTTCACTCTGTACGACAGACTCTAGGTCTATCCAGCTCATTACAAATAGCTCAATTTCGTTTCTTTTTATGGCTGAGTAATATTCCAGATGTGCCACATCTTCTTTATCCATTCATCCGATGATGGACACTTAGGTTGTTTCCATCTCTGGGCTATTGTAAATAGAGCTGCAATGAACATTTTGGTACATGACTCTTTTTGAATTATGGTTTTCTCAGGGTATATGCCCAGTAGTGGGATTGCTGGGTCATATGGTAGTTCTATTTGTAGTTTTTTAAGGAACCTCCATACTGTTCTCCACAGTGGCTGTATCAATTTACATTCCCACCAACAGTGTAAGAGGGTTCCCTTTTCTCCACACCCTCTCCAGCATTTATTGTTTGTAGATTTTTTGATGATGGCCATTCTGACTGGTGTGAGATGATATCTCATTGTAGTTTTGATTTGCATTTCTCTAATGATTAGTGATGTTGAGCATTCTTTCATGTGTTTGTTGGCACTCTGTATATCTTCTTTGGAGAAAGGTGCCGTTTGTTAAGATCCGACCTTACATTTGGTGCCGAAACCCGGGAGGGGTACCAAGCCCCGCGGGTTCCCGCGCGGGCCGCTCCTCCCCCCCCCCCCAGGAGACAACCAGGGAACCTCTACTCATCCACACGATCCGGCAGAAAACGGGGTAAGCCCCCCTCCCTTGTTCCCTCCGACCCTCAGAGTCCCTGCCCACCGGACTCCCTGTCCTTAATCGCGGCCGCGTCAGGGATCCCTCCGTCCTCTCTCCGGGCCTCGGGCAACTGTGGAGACGTCCCAATCGCCTGACCGCTCTCCGACCCGCCGGGCCTCGGGTGATTGTGGAGACGTCCCAATCGCCTGACCGCCCTCCGACCTGCCGTGAATTGGAGACTGAGACCAGGGACGCCTCTCTCCCTCTCCATTCACTCAGGGACAGACTGGGGGTCATGGGAACCTCACAATCGAAACCAGATCCTAAGACGCCCCTGGGGTGTCTCCTAGCCAATTTTACAGCCCTCGGTTTCTCCCAAGATCTCCGTCGCCGACGGCTTATTTTCTATTCCACTGTGGCCTGGCCACAATATCCTCTAGACAATCAATCCAAATGGCCTCCTGAAGGGACTTTCGATTTTAACATCCTCCGTGATCTAGATAATTACTGCCGCAGGACGGGCAAATGGTCCCAGGTCCCCTGTGTTCAGGCCTTCTGGTATTTGCGCTCCCGCCCTTCCCTCTGCGTCGATTGTTCCACTTCCCAGATCCTTCTTGCCAAACAGACATCTCCTACATTCAAGCCTTTAATTTCCTTTGACGATGACCCCTCTCCACTAGCCGACCCATCCGAATCTCTCGCCTCTCCCCGCTCCAGA